CCCCGTGAGTGTCTTTCTCTGCCCCAGCTGCCCCAGCCCAACTCTCTCAGCCTGGCTCCAGAGCAGAGCTGCTCCAGCCCTCGCAGCAGCTCCCTGGCCTCCTCTGCACTCCCTGTTCCCTCCAGCTCAGGAACCTGCCTCCTCACCCACCCTCCTCAGGCACCTGCACCCTGACACAGCAAGTTTTGTCCCAGCTTTGTGCCTGCATTGTCACATCCCTTCCTCCCAAGCGCTCAAGAGCAGGAACTGGGATGGGAATGGGTCCCACACTCCTCCCTGCTCTGCCCCACAGCCTCCTCTCACCTACCCACCCCCAAGCCAGAGCACTGGTGGGGGGGGGACAACACCCCAGCATCACAGGCACTCCCAGGCACATTCAGAAGCAGTGGGGCTGCTTCTTGTCTCTGCCAGCACTTGTTCTGCTCGGCTGGAGGAGGCTCACCCGGATGATGCTCTGGCACGTGGCGAGGGGCAGCCCCACCAGGCTCATCCCGTTGACGCACATGAGGCGGTCCCCGATGCTCAGCTCACCCGACCTCTCCGCGGGGCCCCCGTGCATCAGGTTGGCGATAACCACCGTGGGCAGGATGGAGCCCCAGCCTGACTCCACGATGGCAATGCCCAGGATCTCCCCCTTCTGCTTCTGGATGCAGACCTGCAGGGAGGGGAGGGAGGCACACATGGATTATGGTCACCAGTCATGGGGTGCCTGTGCCAGCATGGGTCTCCTGGGGAGCTGTGGAGGGGATGACACGGGGTACCCCACCCCTCCAAAGCAGCTCTTACATCCTTGCAGTTCTCCTGCCGGGAGAAGTGGCTCAGCTCTGCATTGTATTGCTCCTGGTCCTCCAGGGCACGGCTGTACTGGTGAGGGCTCAGCTCGCTCGGGTTGATGCTGTTGGCCTCCAGGAAGCGCTGGTAGGCGACACTGAACGCCTGCCCAATGGCCTGAGCAATGACCTGGGCCTGGGGAAAGAGAATGGAGTTGTTTGTCCCCATAGCTCTTGGCCAGTAGCTGCCA